AAAAGGCTCTTGCCCTGAGGTTCACTTCACTTAGTATCATCATGGATGATCATATGTACATAGCTTTTAAGCTTGTGAGCTTTTCTGGTCATCTGATAAAATTATCCTAGGTGTATGCTAATTATTGAAAATGAGGGGAAATCATGGGACCTATATTTCTTTGGGCCTGGCTTACTTCACTTAATATGATTTTTTTCGAAGTCTTTCCATTTCCTAACAAATGGGGCAGTGCCATTCTTTCTGATGGAAGCATAGAGTTACATCTGTGTGTGTGTGTGTGTGTGTGTGTGTGTGTGTGCGCGCGCGGGCATGCGTGTGTGTTTCTTTTTCTTTCCTTTTTTTTTGTCGGTCTTGGGGCTTGAACTCTGGGCCTGAGCGCTGTCCCTCAGCTCTTCAGCTCAAGGCTAGCACTCTACCACTTGAGCCACAGCGCCACTTCCAGTTTTCTGGTGGTTTATTGGAGATAAGAGTTTCACAGACTTTCCTGCCTGGGCTGGCTTTGAACCGCGATTCTCAGATCTCAGCCTCCTGAGTAGCTAGGATTATAGGTGTGAGCCACCAGTGCCCGGCATGTGTGTGTCTTTCTTGGTTGTGTACTATGTGATTTTTTTTGTTTCATTTGTATGCTCTTCCCCTTATGATATATCCCCTGTTGTCACTGTAGTTGATTTTGGTGTCCTGCATCTTGTATATACATTTACCTAATTTGGGAAGGGGAAGGGGAATAACAAAATGCTGAAACAAGGACACAGGATGACCCATTGCAACAATGATACCCTCAAGACGGTATATTGGAAATAAACTTTACAATTTCTGGCAGGGGAAGGGGAGGTGTGTGGGAGGTGGAAGCGGGAAGGGATAGTGGGAGAACAACAAGGGAAGGGGTAACAATGCTTGACAAGAAGTGTACTCATTGCCTTACTCATCTCACTGTAACCTCTCTCTACAGCATCTTTACAAGAAAATAACAATTTTTAAAAAAGGCTCCTGCCTGTAATCCTAACTACTTCAAGAGGCTGAGATTTGAGGATTGTGGTTGTAAAGCCCATTAGGGGCAAGAAAGTCCATGAGACTATTATCTCCCAATTAACTACTCAAAAAAAAGGCCTTAAGCAAAAAAGCTCAGAGACAGTTCCTAAGCCCTGAGTTCAAACCCTAGGACTGACCTATACATACAAAAAATTATTATGATTTCAGTATATAATCATGATTTTATCATATAATTTCTGTATTCGTATTGGAGAAAGAAAGTTGATTGGTAGGAAAAGAGTGATTTCTCCACCCCACATTTGTGTAGGAGTTTGTCTGGCCTAGTGTTTGTAAGGAAGTGCCACCAAACACACATATTTGAAGTGCTGAAGGATGATGTTTTTTCTATTGCCAATTCATATTCAAGAGGAAAGCCAATAAGGGAGTTCTAACCTCCCAGACAGACCTGTTCATAATGGCATTGTGAACAGGTCCAGAGCTATACAGCCTAATGTGAGCAAAAAGCCTAGAAATTCCAGCTATGGCTCACTGGATGATTCAAATTGCCAGAGTATGTAATTAAGAATAAAGTTATCTTTATAGTCATTCCTTCATTATTGAGATAACTCAATTGGAAGCCGTTTTAGAGATGCCAGATCTGGAAATAAAATCCTTACAGACTGCAAGTGTAATATCATGAAGACTGTACCAGGAAATAAATTGATGTGCACAGACAATCTTCTGTATGCAGCAGAAAATTAGATCTCAGGAGAGACATGGAGCTAAAATGTAAAATCAAGGTAGCAAGGGCTTTTGCATAGGTAAGGCTTAGTCAACATCTTTCAGAGAGAGAAACCCATATGTCCATGCTGGTCATGATTCCTGGGGGTGGCACTCTTCCCTGCTTTCACTAACTTTTCCTTTGTAACTCCAAAACTATTATTTTCATAGTCCAGGTTACTATCACTTTACTGCTACCACCAGCAGAGTATATACATACTCTGTGCACCTCGTCCTAAATGAGTAATACGAGACTGCTAAGACCATTCCTAGAAAGCACCATGAGGTAAACCTGAGGTGAGGATGCAAGGCAGTTCACATTTGGCTTTCTCAGTGTGCATGATTTTATCCTCATTGCCCAGCCCACCCTCCACCCAGGAGCAACTGCTTTGCTGGTTATTGTGCCTTCTACACAGCTATTTAATTACCAGGGCTGCAGAAACCAAGGCTGACTGCAACAACGAAGCCTTAATGACACCCTGGAAGACACTCTGCCATAGTCCCAGGTACAGGCGAGTCTCCATAGTCACCCACTCTTGTCTTTTGCATGCCTCTTTGTAGGGTCTATTTTATATTCAAGTATCTATTGGGAGCTGATATTCCAGGCCTACTAGCTTAGTTACCTGCTCCCATCATTGGTGTTTGAGTGCTAGAGAATATGAAAAACATGAACCTTGGGAACACGAGAATCAGTACTTATCTGATTCACAACTTTTTCACAGGCAACAAAAGGAAGATCTACTCTGATAAAGGAAGTAGTATCTGTATATAACCCCACTCCCCAGTCTATGGGGAGTTCATAGGAGGAAGGACTCAGTCTCATGAATGCACATAGTCCAGCTCCCCTGGATGTCAGTAGTGTGACAATGACGCCACGTTTAGCAATTTCTGAGGTGGTTGATTATTGTCCAGTTTTTCCTTTTGGAAATACAGGAATATGGAGAATACTGACCTAGACTGTATCACCTGTTGGTTGAGTTAAGAATTCGGGATCATAGTTTCATGTTTATAGCACTGTTTCCATTAGAACACCTGTTCTGGTTGGTTCAAGTGCAGATGCTTGGGACAGGTACCCATGGTTTATGTGAGATGATGTCATTTGATTGCTGATTACCTAAACATATTTCAGGATTTAAACTTCTTCAGCTAGTGTTAAAATTCCAAGCATTCATTCCTTTTGTTTATTCCTTCCTTCACTTGTTTATTCGTCTCTATATTCAATGTGTTTATGCTAAATAGTGTGTTACAGTCTCAAGGTACAGTGCTCAGTATTGAAGATTCCAGGTATCTAGCCATAATCTGTCTGTGACAGATGACATGTCTACTGACCAGATACCCAGGGAACTCTGGCATCACTGTATTTAGAATACTTATTACCTTACTTATGTAACTATAACCCTCTGTACATCACCTTGATAAAAGAAAAAGACTCTAGGAACACTAATATTCCTTCATCTTTCTATGCAACAACCACTAACTGAACTAGGCAATGGGCTGGGTACTTTAAAGCTAATATAATTTAAAGCTAATTGTTGATTCCAACATTCTCTACCTGCAAGTAAGTGAAGCAGTTTTTAAGTTGCAAATCAGACTCTTATCAGTCAGGGCAGATTTCTACTGAATGATGAGGAGAAAGGGAACCTCAGAGAAGGGTGAGTGTATTGTTGATATGTCCATCCATTTCATGTAGAGAGGACAGGTACAGGACTCAGGTCCAGTGCTCAATAATTTTATTTTTACATTTGTGGGATGACTTAAATCCCTTTGTCACTGTCACCAACTGGCGTTTCCAAACTATTTTCCCCTAACTAACTCTGACTCGGAGTGCTTTTCATGATGTTCTCAATTTTCTAGTCCCCCAAGCTTTTCCAAGCTTTGTTATGCTGAAACAGCATCAGCTCTAACTGGGAATGTATTAGAAGTGTTTAGCTCCCACTCCACATATTCTGTATACACTAAGTCAGATTCTGGGCACAGGTAGAGACAATAGGATGTATAGTTAGACCAGTGATTCTATCAACTCGAGTTTGGGTACTGCTTGATCCAGAGGAGCCCTAAATGTCTATATTTAGGCATGATACACTATGACAGCTTACCCATTTGCCTCTCAGAGACACTTCCTATAGAGGCAGCCATTTTAAGAGTCAGAAAGAAAACTCAGAGAGTTCAGTTCTAGTCTGAGTTTTCCCACTACCCTTGACCTTGTACAAAGTCCTACATACCTCAGGAACTTGCATTCTCTGCTTTAAATGGAGGCTGTGGGCTGAGAATATCCCCCTTCCCTACATTCTCATTTCCATATTGAGGTGCTCAAGATAAAGAGAAAGCTCAGTCAGCCATACTGGGTGTGGGGGACCTCAGATATGGACGAATGTTTGTAGTTCCTCATCACAGCTAGACAGAAACTCTTGTAAAGATAAAAGTGGTGACTCTTGAAGACAGTTGAGAGAGTGAAGGCAACAACAGGACAGGTCAGGGACGGGACAGGAAGCTCAACTAATGAATCTACATGTCCTTCCTCCACTCTTCACACTGCTAACTACCACCAGAGACTACAGTGGGCCAGCTCCAGAATAAGTTGAGAACCAGTGAAGAGGCTGTGATGTATCCACAACCAGCTGGAAGGGGAAACAGGAAGGGCTGGCAAGCAAGCTTCAAGGGACAAAAGAGGCCCTGAGCCATGAGGGCCTCTGGAAAACCACTCACCTATCAGAAAGCCTGAGCCTGCCATTTCAAGGTGCATGAATAGTCTACAACAAAAATGAAAGCACTGGAGAAACTTGCTTCTAATTAATCCTAGCCAGTCCTTTTACCACTCCAGTTCTCAAGTGTATTTATCACTAAAAGGAGAAGCATTAAACCTACTTCCTCTGTGTCATGGAAGAGAGTGAACGAAAGTAACCACAGAGATAATGAAAAAAGAAAAAAAATAATCTAATGGTACCCCTATGGTTTGGAAGAATGAATGATTGTTCTACAATCCTGAATTAGAGAGCATTCATAAACCAGCCAATTGGGAGCAGATAAGAAACACGTTGCATTCTATATAGAATAAAGGTGTCTCAAGAATCTAGGTGTTCTCCATTCATAGGAAAGGTTGAGCCTTGGATCTTGTCTTGCATTTAATAAACAAATGGGAAATTCAATAAAAAATTAAATCAATTACTGAAAGGTTTAGAGAGTTTGCTTTTCACAGTCAGGACCAACAACAAGTGGATGCTCCATTCCCACAGTGCCCCTCCCCCTCTCACCTGGGTCTCAGTGGAAGCATCTTCCCTCTCCCAGTCTGGAGAGGGCTCGTTGGCCCTCAGCTCTTCTGCATATTTGAATGATGAGCAAGTCTGAGGGCTGGACGCCACCTCGCTCTCCTTTTGGAAATAGGTTTTTCCTATATGAAGAAATGAATCACAAATCAGCTTTCAACAAGTTCTGAAAGCTTAGAGGAAAGAGGGAAACATTCCAAAATAACAGAAATGTACAATGAACATTGGGTTTTCCATTCTTACCCCCCCACACAAAAATCCATACTACCCACAATGCTTATAAATCTACTTATAAATATACATCTGTGAAAGATATCTTCCTAAGCCAAAGTGTTCTGGGACCCAGTGTTTTTCCAAATGGTTGGGATATGTCAAGCTACAAGGGTTTGGTAGGCAAATCATTTGGAAATCATAAACAATGTTTCTCAAAGAAAGTTATTCATAAAATAACAGATTTGGGAGACCTTCTCAGAGCCTTCACTGTGGTAATGGGCCTTGTCATAAATTCCAAAAAAGGGATCAGAATTTACAGCCTTTCCCAAGCATGGTTGAACAGGGACCCTTATTTTCTTATTATAATGACCTATTAAGGTCATTTTGAATCACAGACCTTGGAAACTTTTCTAGAGACTCTTAACAGCTCTTTCAAGCTTTAACAGGTTAGTATGCTCACACACTGGTTGGGCTACTGTTACATTGCAACTGCTGATTTGGTAGGTGTGGGGTGGGTTCTGAGCTTCTCCAATTATGTTTCACCAGCTCCCAGGTGAAGCCTACAACGCTGGCCCATGGACCATGGTTTTTGAGTAGCAAGTATATAATTGACAGAGTGATTTAAAAAAAAAAACAACTCCCTCCATTGCCTGTAACAGCAGATTAACTTGTGAAATGTATTCCTTTCCCATGTGAGCAAGGAGAACCACTGTTAGCATTGTCCAGCCTCCGTGATTATCAACAGGCCATGCTGTGACAATCTCTCCATAGTTTACATTTGTGTAGAAGCAAAGTAATTGTGTTCACATCAGCACGGGAAGATGTGTGCAGATACTCTCATGTTCACTATAGGGATAAGAGAAAAACCAATTCCTTTGCACATACTAAATGGGACGTTTCAACTAGTGTTCCCTATCCTAATTTTCATATGAATAGCAAATAACTACCAAGAAAAGAAAGGCATTTGAAAGCCAGCTCTGTCTTTGGACCACAGATGTCACATGGAGGACAGGAAACTTCAGGATGAGAAACTCAAACATGTCCTGTCTGTCATGTGTTAACTCTTTTCCATACATACTGTTTTGTTTTAACAACTCTCCATGACAATTTAATTAAGACACAACCCTCAGAAATGTGGCACAGTGAATATTAGCAGCAAGATCAGAATGATCTCCTTCCTATTTCCTTCTTATGAAAGAATTCAAGGCTTGTGGTTTCTGTTCAATTTGTTATAATGACAGTATTTAATCATGGAGTCTGCTCAGCAACCCACTGCTGAATTGAGGTCACACATGTGGCTATCCAGGCATAGAGCACATAATCTATAACTAAAATTTCATCCCTGAATCTCTGGAGGGTTTGCCATTAATTAACAATGCATTTATTTCAAAAATAATATGCATTGTCACCTTTAGAAGTGTAACCTTGGCTTGGAATGAGCAGAAGTTTGTAAGGAAACATTCATGAGAGTTTGCATTACCATAGGAAGGAAAGACTCAGCCACGAGAATATTCCAGTCCATTTATTCATTCAAACATGTTAAATTAAAAGTCTTCTTTTGGGACATCTATTGTATAATCTCCATTTGTGGCTCTTTTCTACTCACATAATTAAAATAAAAATGTACAATTCAGAGTTTTATTTGATATACATATATATCATAAAAGTAACTGAAAATATTTATATAAATTAAAAGATCATTTAGTGTCATCCAAGCCTGCAGTAAATATTTTCAGATTAAAAAAATCATTTTAGTTGGGTGTTGGTGGCTCATTCCTGTAATTATAGTTATTCAGAAGGCTGATATCTGAGGACCTCAATTCAAAGCCATCCCAGGAAGGAAGATCATGAGACTCTTATCTCTAATTAACCAGCAAAATGCTGGTTTTTAATCACTTGGCTCAAATGATTAAAGCATCAGCCTTGAGTTAAAAAGTTAAAAGACAGTGTGTAGGCCCTGGTTTCAAGGCTCAGTACTGGCACACAAAAAATAACATTTACAGTCATGTGTTGGTGTTTGCATGCTTGTTTACTTTCATGTATGTGTAGTTCTTAACATAATACTATGAAGTGGATCACACCTCACACACTCTGTTACTTTTTGGTAGAGGATGTTCAGGGATTTTTATAAGTCTATATTTCCATAAGGCTGAGGTCATTGACTGACTTTTCTTGTGCTGCAAAGTTTTCACTGTTGTCAGCAAATGTTTAACACTGGTCCCAAAAATCTCATTTGGAAGTGACTGGCATTTTACCTGAGGAGGCTGGTTTGGGAAGACGACTTTGAGGAGGTCGAATTCCTCTGGCAGTCATGATGGGGTCCGATGTGGAATGAACGATGGTGATCTCTGCAGAGTGCTGGCTGACTGTGGAGGAAGGCACTTCTCGTTCAAGGGTTTGGGCTCTGACATGAGATGAGGTTGGCTGGAGAGACAGGAGGGGCTCGCTGTCCTCGGAGGACTCTGGCTGGCACGTGTATCTTCCTGTTGAGCGATTTGCAGAGTCTGGGAGTGGGAAGGTTCCAATCCCACTGTCTAATGTTCTCATCTGGCAGTTTGATTCTGACATAGAGAAACAAAGGGGACATTAGAGACATTGAAGAGCAAAGGGTAGAAAGGCCACTAGTACTTGGGTATGCTCTGGGGAAAGCAGACTCCCAGTGAGAGGAAAAAAAATTAATACACATTTAGGCACAGTGTAGTAAATTTTCAGTCAGGTGCATGAAACAGACCTTTAATTGAACATGAAATTATCTCCTTCACATAATGAGGTAAGAAGGTCAGCCCATTACAGACAGCAATAGTCACAAGCACATACATGCTAGATGGCCCTCCAGAGTTATTATAGAAAAAGAACAGTCATTAGACTCTAACAATTATCTTTGATTATCGTTATTTCAATCTGGGACTCATGTGACTTCAATTAGGTGAAATTTATTAACTGAAATAAAATGAGTAATGAGCAGACATAACAAATTGAAGTGATGTCCTAACAAAGGTAATTGTGTATCTCTTATGTGAATTATCACCTGCTCAGCAGTTGACGCAATCCCTGGCCTCTAAGACGAGTGTGAGGACAGTTATTCTCACTTACCACACCAGTCTCCTTTGACCCAACTACTACTTGAAATCTTATTTTGAAGATGATGGAGCCACTTTCTGTCTTTCATCCTCACATTATGCAATGACCAAAATTCATCAGTACTTATTGGTTTTCCCCTCACTCCCAGGGGAATCTTAGGATTCTTCAGAACAAATTAAGGTGATATCATTATGCATTATGCAGGTGACCTATTCCGTTAATTATGTCTCACCTTCACAGAATTTCATATGTAAAGTTCCTGAAAAATACTTCATATTTGCAGAAGTAGAGGTGTAGCTTATCTAATCTAGTGAGACAGCTCCAAACATTGAGATGTTTTTTTTGGATTCTTAACCTTTTTCTTTTCTTTTTGTACATTTTTTTATTGTAAAAATGTTGTACAGAGGTGTTACAGCTACATGAGTAAGGTAATGAGTACATTTCCTATTGAGCATTGTTGTCTCTTTCTCTATTTTCCCTACCATCCCTTCTTTCTTCACTTCCACAACTACCCTCCCTTCCTCCCCTCCCTGCCAAAGTTGTAAAGTTCGTTTTCAACATAGTGTTTTGTTCATCTCATTGTCACAGTGGGCTAACCTGTATCCTTATTTAGGCATTTTGCTTTTTTCCCTTCCGCTCCACAAATTAGAAACAAGATTCAGGACACCAACATCAAATATAGTGAAAATAGGGGTCATACTGTGGGGGAGGAACATACAAAACAACCAAAAAAGTCTCATAGTACATTACAAACACGATAGAGACAATAGCAAGAAAGAAAAAAGATATTTGTGTCCCTATCTTGGGGTTCATTTCACTTAACATCATCTTATATGGTCTTATGTACATAGCTTTTGGCCTTTTCTGCTTGTCCTACACATGTACTAGTTATTGCAAATAAGGGAAATCATGGGACCTTTATTTCTTTGGGCCTGGCTTACTTCACTTAATATAATTTTTTCCAAGTCTTCCCATTTCCTAACAAATGGGAAATGGGACAATGTCATTCTTTCTGATGGAGGCATAGAATTCCATTGTGTGTGTGTGTGTGTGTGTATGTATACCACATTTTATTGATCCATTCATATACTAAGGGGCCTCTGGGTTGGTTCCATATCTTAGCTATGTAAATAATGCTGCAATAAACATAGCTGTGCTGCTAACCTTAGTATGGCCTTGTTTGTGATCATTTTGGTAAATGCCCAAAAGTGGGATTGTTGGGTCATAGGGGAGCTCTATGTGGAGTCTTTTGAGGAACCTCCATACTGCTTTCTGAAGTGGTTGAATAAGTTTACACTGGACCAACAATGCAGTAGGGTTCCCTTCTGGCCACATCCCCTCTAGCATCTGTTATTATTAGTTCTTGATTATAGCCATTCTGACTGGGGTGAGTTGGAATCTCAATGTTGTTTTGATTTGCATTTCTTTTATGGCTAGAGAGGTTGTGCATTTCTTCATGTGTCTGTTGGCCATTCTTACTTTCTCTTTAGAGAAGTCTCTCTTCAAGTCTTTAGCACACTTATTAATCTGACAGTTTTTTTCTTTGAGGATTTGTTGCTGGGGGATTTAAATTTTTGAGTTCCAAGTATATTTTAGATATGAGACCCTTGTCTGTTGTATGGCTAGTGAAGATCTCCCAATCCATGGGCTTTCTATTGATCTTGCTAGCTATGTCCTTTGCCATTCAGAAGCTCTGTAGCTTCATGCAATCTCATTTGTCCAACCTTTCTTTGATTTGTTGTGTTTCTGGGACTCTATTAAGAAAATATTCACATGTAGAAAATTAAAATTAGACCCTTATATATCACCCTGCACCAGAATCAACTCCAAATGGATCAAAGACCTTAGAGTCAAAGCAGACATCCTGAAAAAATTACTGGAAGGAATAGGAGAAACCCTCGGTCTCTTTGGCAAAGGCTGAAAATTGAGAATTTTGGTATCCAGAAGGTCTGTATTAATATATAAAATTTTGAACTAAAACTGTTAGTTTAAGCTTGTATGAGCATTATAAGTCTAGCTCTAAGATTCATAACACAGCACCATGTAAGGCATGGTGGGAAATCTTACTGATTAGGTACTACTACTATTCCTTTGGTGCTTGTGATATGGTCTCTGACAACAACTGTCAGTGTGAATTCTACATAAGAACCTTAACCTTTTGGTGTGGTAGGAGCCATCTAGGTCTACTGTAAGTATTAAAATATGCTCACCACTGAGTCCCTAGAATTTAGAATGCCTTTTAGTATACTATGAGATGCCTGAAGGAATGAAGTAACAGATGGCAACACATATAAGATACTTAGCATATTCATTACATATTAGTAGACAACAGATAGGTAAATAATTTAAAGACTGTTCATATGCAATCTCATTTGATCTAAGTAATAACATCTGGACTCCAGAATATATCCATGTCCCTGCCTTCTTCAAAGCAGCTTTGCTGAATATGGGCTGTATAGTTTTAGGAATTTTCGAATGGCAATTTAGAAACAAAGGAGGAGAGGAGTAGCTAGGCTTGCTGTTTGGTTCTTGAAGTATTCGGAAGTAGAAGTCCTGGGGGGGGCTTTAATTGCCACAAAATACTTAAGAGGGACCCACAGATAATCATTTTCCTCAGTGTGGGGCCACTGAACCATTGAATTAGGCCATTCAATGTCAATATTGGGTTGGGGACAGTTGATGTCTGGCTTCGTTACAATCTGAAAGGTATTACTCTTCCTCAGGATGATGAAGACTGAGTTTAGTCACATTCATTTCAAGCACTCCCTCTGCCCCCACCTTCCCATTATGGTCAGCTTTACTTTCAACCAGTTTACAGAATATTCACGACCTTCTCTCTTTGTTTTGGCATTGTTACAGAATAGCCCTTTTCAGAAATGATCAGGTGTTTGTGTAAGAAGGCACTTCCAGAGTACTTTTTGAGGATCCCGATTTTCGGATTTCAGTGCTTGACGTGGCTTCCCTCCCTCCCTCTGTTCCTCTCACCCTCTCTCCCTTCCTTTCTTCCATCATTTTTTGTTTGTTTGTTTTGTGCTTGTCCTGGGGCTTGAACTCAGGACCTGGGGCATTTTTGGTTAATTGTAGGTCAGAGTCTCACGGACTTTCCTGTTTGATGCTCAGATCTCAGCTTCCCAAGTAACTAAAATTACAGGTACAACCGACCACTACCTAGCTCTCCTTCTTTTGTCTGTCTCTCTCCTCTCACCCTCCCTCTTTCCTTCCTTCCTTTCCTTCTCTGACCTTCTTCTTTCTCTCCACCTCCCTCTTTTCCTTTTCCTTTTCCTCTCAACCCCCAACCCTGTACTAGGGATTGAATTTAGAGTCTTAACCTTGTTAGTAAAGCAGTTTACCACTTGAACCGTGGCCCCAATTCATTTTGCTTTTAGTTTTTCCAGATAATGTCTTTTGCTAACTGCCTGAGGCTGATATTGAACAGTGGTCATCCTGTCTCTGTCTCCTGTAGCTGTAATTATTTGTAAGAAAGAAAGTGAAAGGAGATCCTCAGAATTTCTTTCAGTAATCTGGAAACAGGCCCCACTTCCTATGGCTCACATATGCTTGCCTGGTTTTTAACACACAGTCATGGGGCAGGTGTAGGAAATCAGGCAGAAGAGAGATTTAGGGCAGGAAACAAAGGTGGAGTAGGTCTAAGATTGGTGCTATACAGGGGACACCAATATCGTCTGGCACCTGCTTTTCTTTCCCTTTCTCTTTTATATGCAATATTATGTGAATTTCTTAAACAGAGCTTTTGGAATTCCTGAATTCTGTAATTCTTTGAGAATTGTGTTCACTGACATGAAGCCCAGAAACTACCTGCAATTTTTTTTTTAATTTCTAAATTTCAAGATGGCAAAGGTAGAAAATGTAAGCACCTATGAAATTTGTAAGCACCTATGAAATGAGGTGTGGACCGTCAGGGGGTCAGATGTGTGCCACGTTTCACCCTCAAGCAAATTTCCTTAGAATACATATATCTTGGGAAACCAGAGTTTATATGGGAACTGCTGACGTTGCCTTTTTGTAGTTTCTTTAAAGCACTATTAGTTTCTTGCAGTTCATAAAAATGTTATAACCTGAAAAATTGTTGGATACTGTACTTTTGAGGCCAGTTTTTTTTTTCTCAGAGAATTATAAGAACTCACAAAATAATTAGATGGCTGTAGTAAGAACAAAGTTCACAGGGCCAAGTCTGCCCTGCATCTTCAATGAAATCACTGGGTCTTGCCCTCCACGAGTGTTGTGTTCGCATTTGTGGCTGTAGATACAGCTGCCAGCAGGGCCTTGCTAATGAGTTCAAGGGTTGAATGGATCAATGTACCAGTGGGCTTTATTCTTTCAAGGTTACCAATTACATTTCTGACCTTGGCCAGCCCTCACATCTTCTCCCATCCTCTCATTTGCCTTCTAAAAGTCTCTCAAGGTAAGTCCTCACACTTGTCTCCACCAACTATCTCCAGATATTTCATGAGATGACTTA